AGGCAGAGAGAGGGGGGGAAGCAGGCTCGCTGCTAATTAGAGAGCCCAATGTGGGGCTCAATACCAGCATCCTGAGATCATGACCTGAGCCAAAGGCAGAGGTTTAATCCATTGAGCCATCCAGGGCCCCAAGGAGTTGCTTTACAGGTCAAGTAATCCTTTTTTTAAAAACATATAATGTATTATTAGCCCCAGGGGTACAGGTCTGTGAATCACCAGGTTTACACACTTCACAGCACTCAACAGGTCAAGTAATCTTAAAGCTAAAATCCCCAAATTCCATATTAATGTAAAATTCTTTAGTAAGTGCTTGTTTCTTCACCTTGTGACATCTAGACTTTATACTTGCTCAATTATTAGTATTGAAACTTTTATATATTATCTCATTTAATCCTTAAAGTGACTCTGTTAAGAAAATGCTGCTATTATTTCCTTTGTTTTTTCAGATGAGAAAACTAAGGTTTACAGAGATAAAGTAGCCCAATTTCAGATGGTTAGTAAGTGGCAACTTAGGAGTCACACAGGACTGTCACCTTCTAGTATTCGCAAAGCATCATGAACCACTGTGCTCCTTTGCCTTATTGAAAAGTGATTTTCTCGATGTATTTCTTGCCTTTCATATTTGGACTTATGTCCTTGTTTTATGCTGACTCTAAGTGCATGATATATGTAAACCAACCAGTTTCTGCTTTCTAATGATGGGCGTAGCCTTTGTTTTCTGAAAATTCCAAACCTGTGCCCAGTATATATTATCTTTTTTTTTTCCTTTGAGAGTTTCATTTATTTGACACAGAGAGAAACAGTGTGAGAGGTAACACAAGCAGGGGAAGTGGAGGTGGGAGAGGGAGAAGCAAGCTTTCCGAAAAGCAGGAAGCCCCACCAGGGCTCAAACCCTGGACCCTGGGATCATGACCTGAGCCAAAGGCAGACGCTTAATGACTGAGTCACTCAGGTGCCCCTATTTTGTCTTTTCATAAGACTCCACAACGTGTGTATCATTTTACACTGAATTTATTTTCATTTTTTCCAGGATTGTGGCCTTAGGGTGAGAGCATACAAAAAGTTCCTAAGACATAAAATTGAACCCAGAGCCAAATTAAATACTCAAATATGACAATAATTTTGTTTTAGGTTTCCCAGGAAATATTTTATCTTCTCTTTTTTTTTTAAAGATTTTATTTATTTATTTGACAGAGAGATCACAAGTAGATGGAGAGGCAGGCAGAGAGAGAGAGAGAGAGAGAGAGAGGGAAGCAGGCTCCCTGCTGAGCAGAGAGCCCGATGCGGGACTCGATCCCAGGACCCTGAGATCATGACCTGAGCTGAAGGCAGAGGCTTAACCCACTGAGCCACCCAGGCGCCCCTTATCTTCTCTTTTTGTTGAATGCATCCTGTTTTCTAAAGACATGCTTGAGACTTAGAATACACATTTAGTTGAAGTTGGCCTTACAGGCTCACGGTTAAGCTACATGGAGTTACAGGCGTCTGAGCCAGTGGTGATTGATAAATGTTTAAGAATTTGCAAGGCAGTTTCTTGAAATAAGCCATGTTAGGAATATTTTATACCATAGAAATCTGCTAATATTTCAGGTAAGGTTTGGTTTTGTTGTTGTTACTATTTGGTTTTGCTTGCTTGTCTTCTTCCATGAGGGAGGGGAGAAAATGTGCCAGTAAGTTAGGGAAACTCTATCCCTGTTAAGGAAGAGATAAGATCATATGCTGAGAATGGAGGTTAATGGGGTGAGGCAGAGACTTGAAGAAAATAGAAATTTTTGGAATTGCTTTTGAGAAAAACAAGAAAGAGATTGAGACCAAGAGAGACTATTGCAGCTGTTAGATGTATATAGATAACAATCTCAAACACTAAAATCATAAATTGCCATGCAAAGGTGGTGAAATTGTGAATTTCACATGAAATTTATATGTTTTGGGTAAAAAAACAAAAATTACAGAAAAAGTGAGGGTTCCGATTTAGTGGTCTTCCCATTAAAATATGTAGAAAGGGACCGTGTTAGCTAAGTTTGCCTCTGTTTACAAATGAATTCTCTTGTATCTCTTGCAAGGATGAATTTTGTTGTGCATAATTGTATCCTCTGATCTGTCAATTAAGCATTTTTAAAAGTAACAGTGATACATTCCATTTGGATAATGTATTACATTTTACAAAGTGCTTTCAGTGTACATTATCTCTTTTGATCTCATTTATTGTTGATCCCTGATTGACATATTACTCACTGTATTTCAGTGAAGCTACTAGATCTTCTGCCGTACACTTTGAAGGAAGAGTCATATAAATGCAAATTTAAGTTTATCTCTGGTGACTTTGAGATAAACAGACCAAACCTGAAGGAAAATAACAAACCCAAAGGGTTGGAAATTCATGGCAAATTGCAGCCATCTCAGAAATAGTTTCATTAGGAAAATCGGGTTCGATAAACAATAGGCAGTGGAAAGTGCTTGTAGATCGGTGACAAAAATTAATTACAGATTTTTCTCTGTATCTCCAAACTACATAGATTTAAGTGGAATCATTTCCCTCAGATCAAAACATGTAAAAGTAGAACTTTTAAAATGCCACATATCTTTTTCTAGAAATAACAGATGAGAGGTTTAAACATGAGCCTCTGTTAACCTGCTCTCCCCAGAATAGTGGTTTTGCAGTTGGGGGTTTTCCTTTTGTCCACAAATTAAGAGTTTTCTACTCCAACATCAAGGGCATTGGTGAAAGATTTCACAGCTAATAGTCATGCTTTCTTAATTAACTCATTCAAAAAATTCAGGATGCTGTTGTTAAGTACAGAGATTGGATTCCTTTAGGTAAAAAATTTTTAGTATATTCTACCTTTAGTATATTCTACCTGAATTTGATAGTGATTACGTGAATGAGTATTATTATGTGGGTGGCCATCTGCTAGCTCTTCCTGAATTTAGAAAAATAATCCAAAGGACTTTAACTCTCAAGGACTTTTTTTTTTTTCCTCCCTGTAGCCTTTGAGAGCACTAAGAGCTGAAACAGTAATAGTTACTTAGAAATTTGGGGGAGAATTACATCTTATGGCACTTCTCACCTTTTGAACATTCATTCTTAGGATGGCTGTCACCTACTCAAGTTTTGGGGCACTTTGAATCTTGCAATAATCTTTTCAAGGCAACACTGCTCTTTCTATTTAATGATTATTTCAGTACTTGAAGTAAAATATGCCTATTGGCTAGCTGGGGATTATTCAGTGGAGCCTGAGCTAGGTTTATTGTATAAGAATTAAGGATGCGCAGTCAAACCATTGACGCTAAATTATAAACATGCTGAATTGTTTAAGGATATGTAATTTACAAATGCGTAGGTTTTCTATGGCCTGTTTTAACAGAAGACTAGGGCATTTGGAATGTATTTTCAAGTTCTCTTAAATGTAATGCATTTATTCTTTGTATTATTTTCTTTTTTTTTAATGTGATTTAAGTTCTCAAAGTTTTTTTTTTCTTGCTTTTGTTTTGTTGTTGTTTTAAGATAAAGACAGGGAATCTGCTCTTTATTATTAGAATATTAGAATATTCTAGAATTATTAGATAACTATTAATATCTAGAATATTAGAATATTCTAGAATTATTAGAATATTCATCCCTTTAACTTTCTTTAATTACACCTTGGTTATTATGAATGTGTTTTTTCCACTTCGGGAAACAAATGTCATACTTTCAAATAAATCAAGATTTTCACTTAAGTACTGCTGTTAAATATGAATTTATTACAAGGAAAGCTAACAGCTGACCTTTTCCTCTTTGTCTTAGACTTAACATTCAAAGACTTAGACTCAAAGAACATTAATAAGGCTATCCTTTGTGGTAGAAATCATGCAGATAAATTCTCTCATTTAACCTCTAAACATTCTACCAGATATTAATGTGGTTATTTCAGAGATATATTTCAAAAAATTGTAAGTTGGGTGATACGGTCATGTAGATGAAAATTGGATCTGTTACTGAGTTTTGTTTTTTATTCTTTTCATTACATCATCTTTGTTTGGCACCCAAAAATATTGGGTATCAGCAGTGGCTGCTCCTGCAACGCTGGTCCTTGGGGTTTTGCTTTCTCATTTCAAACTCACTAAGGAACTATGAGAGTTGGAATCATGGTTCATTGTTAACTTGTCATGGAATGTTGCATAACCCAGAGGCCACGCAGAGCCTTGAAAATACCTGGCGGGTGCCTAGGGAAGGTGAGGGATCCAAGAATGGACTTTTGGAAATCTTTCATTGCCAAAAGGATTAGTGTTAAAAACAAAAATACCCGGAAAGTTGAGACCAATCATAAACAAACAAACAAACAAACAAACAAAAAATCCTGGAAATCAAAAAGGGTTTTGAGTAGAAAGAATTTAGCCTATTGAAAACAATGGCCATATCACAAAATGAGAGTTCGGGCCTGTGATCCATCATGTACTTACATGGTTTCCAAATCCTTTTTAAACAGCACAATCTCTGTAATTCCAAGTAAAATCTTACCAATGGTGGTATTTATTTTACATGAAGAATTTAAACACTTAATCATGATGAATTCCATCATTAGAAATAATCAAACACTTTGAACACAAGTATTTGAAATACTGAATTTGGGGAAACATTTGCCCTCTATATCCTGTTTCTCAGTTTTGTCTGGCATGTGGTATATACCATATTTGACTTGTGCATTCTTTTTGTTCTTTGCAAATTCAAACCACTCATTTTGTTCAACCCCTGATTTAATTAAATAATACAACTGAAAAAGCTGGGAATGATGGAAGTCCATTTACTTGCCACTAACACAAAGGCTGGTTCTGAATCTCAGCCTAGATATTTTGTCCAGCAGCATTTATCTTGTCCTGCTGTTCCGTGAAGTAGGTACCCTGACTCCTCAGAATGAAACCATTTATTCATCCTCCTGTTTCTTCTTTCTCTCCCTCTCTCGGGCCATCCAAAAGTAACTTTATGTGCATTTATGTTACAATTGATTTTTCCATTATAGGAGCAGCAGAAAAGAGTTCTAAGCATGGTGCTGAAGACAAGACTCAGACCATTATTATGGCTATGAAAGAAAGAATGAAGATTAGGGAGAAAAACAGGCCAGAGGTGTTTGAAGTCATTCAGGAAATGTTTCAGATTTCTAAAGAAGATTTTGTGCAGTACACAAAAGCGGCCAAGCAGAGTGTACTAGATGGGACATCTAAGTGGTCAGCTAAAATTACCATTACAGGTAAAAAGTCTTCTTTAAAATTTTTATTCTGCACTGAGATTTTTATATGTTTTAGAAATCACTGCTAATGAAAATTATAGGTAAAATAAGTAGAATTTTCCAGTCTTGTCAATATTGATAAGAAGTATAGTCTGTACTTGAAATTGCTAAAGTATGTCCTAGATAATTGAAGTAATTGCAGTCTGTTGTTCTAATCAAAAGCTCTTCTAGAGGAAGAAGTTTCTCTTTTACAATATACTCATCAATATCCTGCAATTTACAAGAGATTAGCTTTGTAGCTGCCTGCCACTGATAAATTACAAGAGTAGCTAAAAATCTCTTTAGCCAGTTTTTCTTAATAAGAAAACACACATCATTTCATTTAATTCTTGATCAGTACCCCTCAAACATTTGATCCTCGCATCAAGGCAGTTTGAGCTTAGTGATGTCTGGTAATATGAACTTCTGAAGTTGCCTATAACTAGATAAACATTAACTAAGCCTCTTAACTTACTCATATGGTACTTACATGATAAAATAAAGATGCCTTTTTTTTTTTTTAACTAGGTTGAGTTGTTCAGTAGTGACAGCAAACTCGCAATTAGAAATACATTTTAAATCACAGACCTTTGAATTATGTTGGATAACTTTGGGCATATTGTATGTGCATCTTTATTTCTCTATACATATATATAGTAACGTGTATATAATTATATAGCTGGTGTGAATAGGGCAGTATATGTGTATAGCTGCTACTCATTACAGGCAAAAGAAAATATTTATTCAAGGAAGGTTTTAATACTCAGTGTTTTCACTCTTTCATTAAATATTTTTAAAGTCCTAATGTTCATGACAATAAAAGCAGTGGGAATGTATCCACAAACCCAGTGTGCAAAGTGTTAGAAGAGCTGCCCTTCGTTACCATTTTTGTTTGTTTGTTTGAGGAAATCTTTATATTAAAATGTTTATTTTTATATATTTCAGTGGTTTCGGCACAAGGCTTACAGGCAAAAGACAAAACAGGGTCGAGTGACCCATATGTTACTGTTCAAGTGGGAAAGAACAAAAGAAGAACCAAAACCATTTTTGGAAATTTGAATCCAGTATGGGATGAGAAGTTTTATTTGTAAGTATATCATGTGAAACTATTACAAGTATTGATATATTTGGGAATAAATTTAATACAGGCATGCAAAATATAGAAGCAGTAATTATCTCATATTTAATACTAAGCAGAAATTATCAAAAGTGAAATTAATATTATGAAGTCACTTAATACATTTATTATTCTTTATCTTTGGAAGAAAGTGAATAAAAAGAATTTTTCAAACAAAGGGTGACATGGTTGGGGTGACTGTATAGGGGGAAAAAACATTAAGATATGATCTGTAACTTGAGTTGACCTAACATAACTTCGAATTTACTGACTTGATTCAGCAATATCCTCACGTCCAATGATTTAGGACTAAGGGCAGGAGAAAGATCTGGGGCATCACCTGACCCATCACACCTACACCATGATGAAATGGTTGATGATAACTTTTACAGCCTCTCATTTTCTAAGAGGTCATTTATTTTTAAAGCCTCTTATATTTGTACCAAAAGGTAAGAAATTATTTTTCTGGCATAAGTTCTTTTCTTTCTAAAGACAAAAGATGACTTTCCAATTGGCATTTGATAGAAATGAAAATTCCAAACCCTGAGTCCTTTCTTTTTCTTCCCTCCTTTCTATGCTGATGGTGTAAACAAGGATCTTATTAACATACCAAGTGAGCAAACCCAAAATATACAGCTTGTTTGGAGATGTAGGCAATAGTGAATAAGAAATAGAGCGCTTTTGTTTGTATGGGCTGATGAAGAGTGTGTTCAGAACTAGGTTTGGGAAATCAGTTGGGACCAAATAACGGGATGCCATAGAATGAGTTTGGATAGTTCCTCCCTCTTCACTGATGGAAGAAACTATTTTAGCCTCCATTTGTTTGTTAACCGAAGACAAGAAATCCATTGGTAGTCATAAATCCAAATCTCTAAACCAGTCAAATAAATGAATCAAGCAGGATAAGGGCAACAAAGAAAGGACAGGACTATGGCAAACGTCAAGCAAGCGACTTGGAAAAATCCAGCCTCAATGGCCGCGTATTCATGCAGATGTAATGAAGCTAGAGCCCACAGATTCTCAGGAGAAGCTGTAAGTTTGAAAATTTAAAATCAGGTTTATCGAAGTAAAATTGGCAAAATGTAAGTCTACATATTTAAAGTGTACTGTTTGTTAAGTTTTGACTTGCATATACCTCAATGAAGCCATCACCACAGACAATATGATGAACATATATCTCGCCCCATATTCATGCTCCAGGAAAACTGTCCCTCCTTAACTCCCTCCATGGCAAGGCAATCACTGGTCTCCTTTATGAGGCTATAGAATGCTCTGCATTTTGCATTTTGTGACTTTTTTATAGAGCATGTATTATGCATTCTTTTGTAGGGTTTGATTGACTCAGTGTAATTATTTTGAAATCCATCAATGTTGTAGGATTCAGCAAAAGACCGTTTCTTTTTCTTGCTGCATAGCATTTCATTGTAATAAAATATCAAAGTTTATTTATGCATTCACCTTTTGAGGGGCATTTGGTTTGTTTCTAGTTTTTAGCTATTAAAAATAAAGCCGTTTGAAAAAAAATAAAGCTGGAAACTTGTAAACTATGTCTATACAAATATTTATATGCATTTCTCTTGAATAAATATCTAGAGTTGAATAGATGGGACATCTATTATGAATATATGTAATTTTTAATTTTTAAAATTTAAGATAAATTTTCCAAGTGGTTATACCATTTTAAATTTCCATCACCAATGTATGGGAGCTCCAGGTCGTTACACCCTTCTAACACTTTGTAAGGTCAGTCTTTTAGATTTTTGCAATCCTTCTATATGTGTAGTGTAGTGGTATCTTATGGTGGTTGTATTTTGCACTTCTCTGATGACTAGTGGTTTCAAGCATCTTTCATGTGCTGTCCATGTATCTTTTTTCATTAAGTTTTTAGTTTGCTCATTTTTACTGTTTTTCTATTTTGTATTTGTGCAAGTTTTTTTTTTTTATAGTTTTATATTTTACATTTAGGTCCATCATACATTTTTGAGGTAATTTTCTAATGTGGTAGAAGTTATAGACCTAAGTTCATTATTTTGCATATGGATATCCAGTGGTTCCTGCACCATTTTTTGAAAGCACCATCATTTCTTTACTAAATGGCTTTTGCACCTTTAATAAAATTCACGCATCCCTGGATATGTTGATCCATTTCTAGATTGTTCTGTTCTATTTACCTGTTTATCCATCTGTATGCCAGTACTACACAGCATAGATTACTGCAGTTTTACTTTAAAATCAGTCTTAAAATCAGTGTCAGTCCTCCAACTTTTAATTTTTTCAGTTATCTATCTTAGAGCCTTTGAATTATTTCCAAATGAGTTTTAGAATCTGCTGTCCTTCTTCACACAAAAAGAAACCTGATACAATTTTGATTGCCTTATTGCTCTGGCTAAGATTTCTGATATGATACCAAGAAGAAGTGACACAAGTGCATCTCCTGGCCTTGTTCTCAGTCTCAGACAGAACACATTGTTTTTTTAGGCTCTTTGTAGATGCCCTTTATGCAGCTGAGGCAGTCATCCTCTGTTTCTGATATGCGGAGAGTTTTGATCAGAAACAGATGTTGTAGTTTGTCTAATGCGTTTACTGCATTTTTGGGTTGCTCATAGGATTCTGAATGCCATTAAAAAAACAAAAAAAACTTGGAAGATATTTTTCCATCATCTTCGTGTTTACATGCTTTTCTTATTCTTGGTGAGAAAGCCATTGTTGCCCTCATCTTTGCTCCTCTGTGCATGTCTTTTTCCTCCTGAGTTGCTATTAAAAGATCACAGTTTCTTTACTCGGTTGCACAATATGGTAGTGTTGTACCATGATGTGGTTTTCTTTATATTTTTGGTGCATGGGGTTTATTAAATCAATTGGGACTGTGAGTCTTCAGTTTTCTTCAAACTTGCAAACATTTTGGCTATTTCTGTAAACATTTTTTCTCCCTCTGCCTTTTGGAGATTCCCCTTATAAAATACATTAGGCCTTCTGAAGTTGTCCCACAACCACTGATGGAGAGTTTATCTTTTCTCTTTCTCTCTCTCTTTCCTTTTCTTCTGTGTTTCACTTTGGATTATTTTTATTGCTATGTGTTTACATTTGCTCACCTTTTCTTTGGTCATGTCTAATCTATTATTAATCCAAGCCACTGTATTTTTCTTTTTCTTTTTTTAAATTTTTATTTATTTTTTTAACTTCTTTTCAGTGTTTCAGAATTCATTGTTTATGTACCACATCCAGTGTTCCATGCAATACGTGCCCTCCATAATACCCACCACCAGGCTTCACCCAACCCCCCGTCCCCCTCCCCTCCAAAACCCTCAGACTATTTTTCAGAGTCCATAGTCTCTCATGGTTTGTCTCCCCCTCCGATTTCCCCCAAGTCCCTTCTCCTCTCCATCTCCCCATGTCCTTCATATTATTTCTTATGCTCCACAAATAAGCGAAACCATATGATAATTGACTCTCTCTGCTTGACTTATTTCACTCAGCATAATCTCTTCCAGTCTCATCCATGTTGATACAGATTTGGCTATTCATCCTTTCTGATGGAGGCATAAAACTCCATTTTGTATATGGACTGCATCTTCTTTATCCATTCGTCTGTTGAAGAGAATCTTGGTTCTTTCCACAGTTTGGCGACTATGGCCATTGCTGCTATGAACATTGGGGGTACAGAGGCTCTTCTTTTCACTACATCTGTATCTTTGGGGTAAATACCCAGTGCCACTGTATTTTTCATCTCAGATATTTCGGTTTCCATCTCAGGAAATTCAAGTTGAGTCTTTATATCTTCCATGGCCCTACTTAACTTTTTTTTAGGTAAGACTTTATTTTCTTAGAGAAGTTTTAAGTTCACAGAGAAATTGAGGGGAGGATACAGTGATTTCCCATGTACCTTCTGCCCCCACATATCCATTGCCTCCCCTTATTACTAACACTCCCCCATCCACCAAAATGGTATATTTTTTTACAATTGGCAGACCTACATTGACACATCATTATCACCCTAAGACCACATTTACATTATGGTTCACTGCTGGTGGTTTATATTTTATGGGTTTGGACAAATATATCATGATGTGTGTCCATCATCATGGTATCATACGGAGTACTTTGCCTTAAAAATCCCATGTTCCACCTTTCATCCCCACCTCCCTGAATTTCTTTTTACTCTCTGTATAGTTTTTTTTTTGAAGAAGGTCCTAGGGTTGGAATCATACAGTGTATGACCTTTACATATTGGCTTTTTTCACTTGGTAATATACAGTTAAGCTTACTCTGTGTCTTTTATGTGGCTGGATAGTTCATTTCTTTTTTGCACTGAAAATAATCCATTGCCCAGATGTGTCACAGTTTGTTTATCCATTGACCTACCAAAGAACATCTTGGTTGCTTCCAAGTTTTGGCAATTATGAATAAAGCTGTTATAAACATCCATATGCAAGTTTTTGTGTGAACATAAGTTATCAATTTCTTTGGGTCAATGCCAAGAAATGTTATCGCTGAATTGTATGGTAAGAGTGTATTTCGTTTTGTAGGAAACAGTCAAACTGTCTTTTAAAGTGACTGTACCAGTTTGCATTCCCACCAGCAATGAATGAAAGTTCCTGTCGCTCTGAATCCTCTGTAGCATTTGGTGTTGTCTGTGTTCAAGAGTTTGGCCATTCCAGAAGGTGGATAGTGGGATATTGTCGTTTTAATTGACATTTCCCTGATGACATCTAAGTAGCATCTTTTCAAATGCTTACTCGCCATCTGTCTATCTTCTTTGGCAAGGTTTTAAGAAGGATTTTTTAAAGTTTTTTTTTTTTAATGTTGAATTTTAAAAGTCTTTTAACTGTTTTTGATACTAGTCCTTGATCACCTGTGCCTTTTGAAAATATTTTCTCCCCATCTGTGACTTGTCTTCTTATTCCCTTGACACTTTCTCTACTTCCCTTTTTGAACACATGCAAAACATACCACTCTTTTGATGTCCTTGA